TCTGTTTGCTATACGTAAGCTCACTTAAACAATATGTGTCATTGAAAAAACTCTGTGACTAAAAAGAAAATGCATACAGTATATGAATCCCCAACATCTACATATGTGATTTTTTATTAATACCACAAAGTGCTGTGGATATAGCATCTTATAAATGACTTAAGAAGGCACAAGTAATGCAGGACTGGTGGTATTATATTTGGTTCCTGTTTGAAAAATCAATAAAAAAATCACAGGAAGATATTGCCTGGTCACCCAGAATTTGTCACTTTTTGTGCTTGACTTGCGGGAGACTTTTTTCTTCCCCGCTGTCATGGATCAACAGTGAAGCATGACTATTTTATTTTATCTTTATTCTAAGACGATCAGATTTTGATACCTTTTCCTGATAGATGATACCCTACCGAGGTGTTTGTCTTATTGACTTCAGTGGGATAATCACAATTAATTTTATATTAATTGAAAGGATATTAGAATCTGGGCCCAACCCTTGATTGAATTACTTCTATGAAAACTTCTTGATCCGTGACATCTTATCTGGAACTGACATGGACCCAGTCTTATCTCCTAATGTGCAGCTCTGTGATGGCTCTGTGGATACCACTGGACAGAGGGAGGTTGGTATGGACAGTAGGGAATCTATGCTACGCCTCAATGATCCGCCCACCATTCCCTTCCACTTACTGAGAGCACAGAGGCTGGAGTAGCAGCCAAGTTGCAGCTTTCTTTGTAAACTGGTAGGGTGGGGAGTTCAGGTCGGGGGGGGGAGGGAGAGGATTCTTTCCTCTAGTCCTGGAGAAAGTGCGATAGGTGACATAATTTGGACGATGTGATTACTGCTTTTGATGACATGCTCAGAATGGAAGCATCCTATCAAACTGCAAAGGGCCAATATCATCTCTGCTAATTCTCGTCTCTCTCAGCCATAACCGTCAAACCTAACAGTTAAAAAATCATGACACAGCCCTCCCACCTCCCCCCCCGTATCCTCAACCGAGAGCTTGGCTTCAAAATCAGGACATGAAAAGTAAAGTTAGGTTCTTTTGATTTACTTCTGGTTTCTGAGCTTGGATCTAGTTTTCTGCATTCTCGCTCAAATGTTGAAATTTACTAGATTATGCTAGAAACTCATTTTTTAGTGAAAGTTGACAGCCTCATGCTAACTCCTATTTCCTACTGCTGGGGCTTGCAGGAAAAACACTAAACCCTTCTTGCTGTAGCTTTATTTGTAAGTGATAAATATTGCATTCTATTAGGCCATATCAGGACTGCAAGATAACATCTATTTGTGGATGTCTAGATTTCAGCTCAAATTCAACATGGCTATCACAGATCTCTTAATTGCCCTCAGGCCCATATTCTCCCTACTACCACCTTTCTCGGTCACTGTGAATACCAGCATGATCTCACCGGCTATTCAAGTTTATAAACTGGGGCTGTGTCTATATTGGCAAGATTTTGCGCAATATCTTCCCGCCTGTCTACACTGGCCGAAGTATTTGCACAAGAACATTGATGTTGTAATGTACAAAATCAGTGCTTCTTGTGCAAATATTCTGATGCCCCCACTCAGGGATAAGCCCTCTTGCACAAGTATTTTTGCACAAGAGGCCAGTGTAGACAGGTAACATTAATTTAGATATAAGAACATAAGAACATAAGAACGGCCGTACCGGGTCAGACCAAAGGTCCATCTAGCCCAGTATCCTGTCTACCGACAGTGGCCAGCACCAGGTGCCCCAGAGAGGGTGGACCGAAGACAATGATCAAGCGATTTGTCTCCTGCCATCCCTCTCCAGCCTCTGACAAACAGAGGCCAAGGACACCATTTTATCCCCTGGCTAATAGCCTTTTATGGACCTAACCTCCATGAAATTATCTAGCTTCTCTTTAAACTCTGTTATAGTCCTAGCCTTCACAATCTCCTCTGGCAAGGAGTTCCACTGGTTGACTACACGCTGTGTGAAGAAGACCTTTTTTTATTAGTTTTAAACCTGCTGCCCATTAATTTCATTTGGTGTCCTCTAGTTCTTCTATTTAGGGAACTAATAAATAACTTTTCTTTATCGGCCCTCTCCACACCACTCATGATTTTATGTACCTCTATCATATCCCACCCCTCAGTCTCCTTTTTTCTAAACTGAAAAGTCCCAGTCGCTTTAACCTCTCTTCATATGGGACCCGTTCCAAACCCCTAATCATTTTAGTTGCCATTTTCTGAACCATTTCCAAGGCCAAAATATCTTTGTTGAGGTGAGGAGACCACATCTGTACACAGTATTC